GTCCTCCCCGTCCCCTTTGGAGGTCCCCGTCCCCGATCCTCGCCGTCCCAAGGGACTTTTGGCAGCGTCTCCGTCCCTTTGGCGACGTCCCCGTGTGATTTCCGCCACCTGGACAAGGTCCCTGTGGTGTCACTGTCACTTTGGAGGTGTCTGTCCCCAATCTGTGCCATCTCCAGGGGGTTCCATCCCTTTGGAGATGTCCCTGGTGGCACCTGTGACACCTGAGGTGTCACCAATCCCCCGCTGAAGGTCCCCGTGCCCCATCCCGGTTCCCCAGGAGGGTTCCGGTGCCATCTCCAACCCTTTGGAGAAGCCACTGCCATGTCCCCGTCCCCTCTGACGAGGTCCCCGTGTCATTTCTGTCCCCCTGGAAATGTCCCATGTCCCCCCCCCGCCACCCTGAGCGGCTCCAGGGGACATCTCCCCCCACTCCAGGTGTCCCCGTGGGGTCTGTCCCCTTCGGAGGTGCCACCTCCACGACCCCCTGGTGTGTCCCTGAACCACCGGGTGACCCCTCTGTCACCTCCGAGACCCCCACGTGTCATCCCCACCCCTCTCCAGTGTCACCCGCCCAGGTGMCACCTCCAGGTGCCACCTCCAGGTGCCACCTCCCGTCCTGCTCGTCCCTCCCCCGCCTGTCCCCGCCTGTCCCCACCCTTTATCCCGTTCCCCTTCAGCTTCGCCGGCCTTGGCTCCGCCCCCCCCCGGTATATAAATCTATTTTTGTTGCGCGGGAGATGTTTAATTTTTTATTATTATTATAACGAGGATAATTATTGTCGCCCTGTGCCGTGTTCGTGCCTGTCCGGGGCCACCCCGGGCCCCCCGTCCGCGCTCGTCCCGCCCCAAACGTGGCCAATAAAGCAGCTTCCAGCGGCTCCTCGGCTCTGGTTTTTGGTTTTTTTTTTTTGGGGAGGGGGCGTCACCGAGGGGGTTTGGAGGGGAGGGGACAAGGGACAAAGCGACACAGAGCTCGTGGGGACACGGGGACAGCGCCTTTGCCCCACCCACCTGTCAATCAACGGAGGAATTCCGCGCCTTCTCCAGGCCACGCCCACTCCGCCCGTGACCGGCAGGGGGAGCCCGGGAGGAGAAATTGGGTGGGGGGGCTCTCCCAATTTGGGGGGGTCCTTGCCCAGTTTGGGGAATCCTTTCCCAGTTTAGGGGGTTCCTTTCCCAGTTTGGAGTGTTCTTTCCCAGTTTGGGGTGGGTCCTTTCCCAGTTTAGGGGGTTCTTTCCCAGTCTGAGGTGTCCTCTCCTAGTTTAGGGTGTCCCTTCCCAGTTTAGGGGTTCGTCTCCCAGTTTGGAGGGTTCTTTCCCAGTTTAGAGGGTTCTTTCCCAGTTTAGAGAGTCCTCTCCCAGTTTAGAGGATCCTTTCCCAGTTTAGAGGGTCCTTTCCCAGTTTGGAGTGTTCTTTCCCAGTTTAGGGCGTCCTTTCCCAGTTTGGGGTGTCCTTTCCCACTCTGGGAGGTCCCTGCCCAGTTTAGAGGGTCCTTTCCCAGTTTAGGGGGTTCTTTCCCAGTTTAGAAGGTCCTTTCCCAGTTTGGGGTGGGTTCTTTCCCAGTTTAGAGGGTTCCTTCCCAGTTTGGAGTGTTCTTCCCCAGTTTGGGATGTCCTTTCCCAGTCTGGGAGGTCCCTGCCCAGTTTAGAGGGTCTCTTCCCAGTTTAGAGGCTCCTCTCCCAGTTTAGAGGATCCTTTCCCAGTTTGGGGCGTCCTTTCCCAGTTTGGGGTGGGTCCTTTCCCAGTTTGGGGCGTTCTTTCCCAGTTTGGGGTGTCCTTTTCCAGTCTGGGAGGTCCCTGCCCAGTTTAGAGGGTCTCTTCCCAGTTTAGAGGCTCCTCTCCCAGTTTAGAGGGTCTTGTCCCAGTTTAGAGGGTTTTTTTCCCAGTTTAGAGGGTTCTTTCCCAATTTAGGGGGTCCTTTCCCAGTTCGGGGGTCCTTTCCCAGTTTGGAGGATCCTCTCCCAGTTTGGGATGTCCCTTCCCAGTTTAGAGGCTCCTCTCCCAGTTTCAGGTGTCCTTTCCCAGTTTAGAGGGTCCTTTCCCAGTTTAGAGGGTTCTTTCCCAGTTTGGGGAGTCCCTTCCCAGTTCGGGGTGCTGCGGTTGGCCCGCGCCAACTTTGGGGTCTCCCCCGCTCCCCTCCCCCTTCACTCCTCCCTTTTTTGAGGGAGGGGCGTTTCCTTCCTCCCCTCCCCCCCCGGCCTTGACGTCACTCGCCCGGTGATTCACCGGGATTGGCACCGGGGGGGACACTTTGGTGACAACGCCACTGTCACCCCCTGTCCCTCAGAGCGACATTCGGGGACTTCGCGGCTTTCTGTCGCCGTGTCCCCCACCCACACAAGGTGACATCGCGCTCCCAAATGTCCCCACGCTGTCCCCACGTTGTCCCCACGCTGTCCCCACGCTGTCCCCACGCTGTCCCCACGCTGTCCCCACGCTGTCCCCACGCTGTCCCCACGCTGTCCCCACGCTGTCCCCACGCTGTCCCCACGCTGTCCCCCCCTCCCGGTCCCCGCCCGGCGCTGTCGCTTCCGTCGCCGCCGGTCCCTTCCCAGGGCCGGGGGGGTGACACGGTGACCCCTGGCCCCGCTCCCGCCGCGGTCACTTATTTTTAGCTGTCGCCTCTTCCTGGCCGGATCCCGACTATTCCTGACCCGGGCCAAGAACGGGAGGGGGGGGACACACCCAGGGATGGTGGCGGTGGCTTTGGGGACATCGGTGGTGGCTTTGGGGACATCGCGGGTGGTCGTGCCCGCTGTGTCCCTCCCCTCCCCCGGTGGCATTGGGGACATCGGAGGTGGCAGTGCCATCCGCGTCCCTCCCCCACCCAGGGGTGTCCCAAGAGGGTGGGGTGGCAGAAAAAGGGGCCACGTCCCCTCCTCGGTGTCCCCAAGTCCCCGGGAAAGGTCACGGTGTCGCCTTGTCCCCGCTGTGTGGTGGCTTCCCAGCGTGGCGCTGGTGGCACTTGGCTTCTCCCCATCCCCCCCGCCAGGGTGGCCCTTGTGTCCCCAAATCCCCGTGTCCCCAAGTCCCGTGTCCCCAATTTCTGTGTCCCCAAATCCCCGTGTCCCCAAGCCCCATGTCCCCAAATCCCCATGTCCCTAAGTCCCGTGTCCCCAATTTCTGTGTCCCCAAATGTCCATGTCCCCAAATCCCCGTGTCCCCAACTTCTCTGTCCCCAAATCCCCATGTCCCCAAATCCCCGTGTCCCCAAGGACGAGGACAGGTTCTGGTGTTAATTTACAGCGTCATTTATACACTGGAGAGGGGGAAGGACGGACAGACGGACGGACATACACCCAGATTTGGGGTGTCCCCAAAGCCGGGAGGGGACAGATCTGAGACTGGGGGATGTCCCCAAAGCCGGGA